AGTTCAGATTTAAAGGGTTTCCGGCCCTCAGATTCTATGATAAATAGGATGCTGGTGATGATTTAATATGAGGAAGTGCACAAGAATCAAATAGAGAACTCTGTTTCGAGGTTCTACCATTGAGCGATGTCAGCTTTGGCCCAACAGATAATGCCCAAGCTCTAAGATCTATTGAAATCACTAGAAGGGCAAGAGAGAGCAATCAGGAGCAGTGTAAGGTTCATATGTTGACACCTTGTGTTTTACTTAAAAAAAAATAAAAATAAAAAATAAATAAATATATATATATATTAGAGCCCCGTTGCATGAAGAGATTCATGCAATAGGCCTTCCCTTCCCCTGGCTGCCAGCACCGGTTTTCCTCCGGCACCCGGGACCCAGGCCTTCCTCCAGCACCCGGGACCCAGGCCTTTGCTCCGGCCGGAGCCTTCAATCTTCACCACTCCCGCTCCGCCGCTTTGCACCTATGTATGCAAATTAACAGCCATCTTTGTTGGGTTAATTTACATACTCTCCTGATTGGCTGGTGAGCGTAGTGGAGGGACAGTCAATTTACATGTTAGTCTATTACACCCCCTTCCTCTCTATATATATACTAGAAGCCTGGTGCATGAAATTTGTGCACTGGGGGGGGGGGGTGTCCCTCGCCCAGCTTGCACCCTCTCCAATCTGGGACCCCTTGGGTGATGTCTGACTTCCCACAGGGATCGGGCCTAAACTGGCAGTCAGACATCCATCTCACAATCTGGGTCTGCTGGCTCCTAACCATTTGCCTGCCTGCCTGCCTGATTGCCCTAACTGCTTCTGTCTGCCAGCCTGATTGCCCCCTAACTGCTCGTCTGCCGGCCTGATTAACACCTAACTTCTCTCCTGCCAGCTCGATCGCCCCCAACTGCCCTCCCCTGCCAGCCTGATTTCACCCCCAAATGCCCTCCCTCCCCTGCCGGCCTGGTTGCCCACAACTGCCCTCCCTTGCAAGCCTGGTCCCCCCCAACTCCCCTCCCCTGCTGGCTTTATCTCTCCCACAACAGCCCTCCCCTGCCCTCCCCTGCAGGCTTGATCTTGCCCCCAACTGCCTTCCTCTGCTGGCCAATTTGGTTCTGATTGGTTGGTTCCTATGCCAGTCAGCGTCAAAACTCCACCTCCTGGGCAGCCATTGGCTCCTCACAGTTGACCCAGATTTGGTTCTGATTGGTCAGTTTCTATGCCAGTCAGTGTCAAAAGCTCCACCTCTTAAACAGCCATTTGCTCCTCACACTTCACCCAAATTTGGTTCTGATTGGTTGGTTTCTATGCCAGTCAGCATCTCTGGGCCTATCAATGGGGCCTGGTCAGAAAGGCAGGGCTGATCAGCAGCCCTGCTGGGCCTGGAGAGAAATGGAGGCATGGCTGCTGGAGAGAAAGAGAGAGGCAAGTGCTGATCAACAGCTGCCACAGAGGCTACAGATCAGACCCTGCTTCTCTCTTCAGACCTCACTCTGGGCCTGATTCGAAGCCCCCTCAGCAGTCAGTGCTGGGTCTCCATGGCAACCCAGCGCTGACTGCAGGACTGACTTCTGATTGGTTGAGCCTCAGTCTTGACAGACCCAGGGTTTTTATATATTAGGATTTTGTTGATTTCAGAGAGGAAGGAAGAGGGAAAGAGAGATAGAAACATCAATGATGCAGGCCCCCTATTGGGGAGTGAGACCGCAACTCCAGGCCTGTGCCCTTGAGCAGTACTGAACCTGGGAACCTTCAGTCCGCAGACCAATGATCTATCCACTGAGCCAAAACAGCTAGGACTCACAGTGTGCTTTAGTGACTAAATATATTTGCAGCTCATTGTCACAATGCACTAATTTTCTAATTAGTTACTAATTAGCACTATTTTTTAAATATAAAAGAGCTCCTACAGATCAATAAGAAAAGGGCTAAAGACCCAAATTAAAAGTCAGCAAAAGAAATGTATACACAGCATGGAACCAAATACAACCTCTTATACTTTTGAAAAGATGCTGATACTCATAATAAAAAACATTCATTTAAAAGTCACAGTGAGAACTACCTCACACCCATTGGAATGATACAAAAACCCCACATGTATACAGAAAATAAATGTTGGCAAGGATATGGTGACATTGGAACTCGTGCACTATTAATGAGAATGTAAATTGGTGCAGCTGCTATGGTAAACAGTATAGCAGTTCTTAAAAAAAAATTTCAGTAGAATTACCATGTGACTCAGTAATTCCACTTCTGAATATTTGCCCAAAAGAAATGAGATATTTGTATATCCATGTTTGTGACAGCATTATTCACAATCGCCAAAAGGCAGAAGCAACTCAAGATAACTTACTCTGCCACATATGTGATTTGACATATGATCAAGGTTTTCTCATTGCAACATGATTGGAAACAACATAAATAGCCATTGATAGGGGCTGGAAAAATAATTATTACCATCCACTATATGCAGCTGTTAGAATTAGGATACACAGTATGTGCTGAAACAAAACAATCTCCAAGGTAGTGGCTAGTGTGCAAAAGTATGTGTACTGTGCTACCAGGTGTTTAAAAATAAAATGAAAAAAATGTCAGTCTATGTTTTTTTCTAAAATAACTGCAAGTAAAGGCAAGAAACTGCTAACAGGTAACAGTGGTCACTTCAGATGTGTCTACAGAGGAAAACTAGATAGCTAAGGGACAGGGTTGGAAGAGAGACTTGCTTTCCACTATTTATCACCTTTACCTTTTAAATTTAATACCATATGCAGGTATGGTGTATTCAAATTTTTTTAATTAAAGAAAAAGAGAGGTCATCCTGGCCGGTGGTGCTCAGGAGTTAGAGTGTCAGCCTGCTCACTGAAGAATCTCAGGTTGGATTCCCGCACAAGGACACATACCTGGGTTGCAGGTTCATCCCCGGCCCTGGTCGGGGCACATTCGGGAGGCAACCAATCGATGTATCATGTGTCTTGCATTGATCTCTCTCTCTCTCTCTCTCTCTCTCTCTCTCTCTCTCCCTCTCCTTCCCTTCCATTCTCTCTAGAAATCAATGGAAAAAATATCCTTGGGTGAGGGTTAACAAAAATAAATAAATAGATCAATCAATAGATAGATAAAAAGAGAGACTTCAATGCATGCATATAAGCATAACCAATGGATACAGACAGTAGGTGGGTGAGGGCCTGTGCTGGGGGGTGTGAGCAGGCGGGGAGAGGTCAATGAGGGAAAAAGGAGACATATGTAATACTTTCAACAATAAAGAATTAAAAAATAAATTTTAAAAAGAGAGGTTTCAGTCTACAAGGGAAAAAACAAAATAGTCACTGGGAACAGAGGAAAGGCATCTCCCATAGCCCGAAGGGATTGGCGATAGCTTCTATCCACCCTCAAGGAAGAACTTCCTGCTATTGAATCAGAAATAGCTGTGCACATTTTCCTGAGCATCGGTTTGACTGTATCTTCCAGACAGATCTATAAATAAATTCACCAGTTAGCTTTCCCTTTCCCTTTGGCCATTAAACACTATAAGCCAAATTTGTGACCTGCACATGCAGGGTGGGCATATTTCTATGGTAAGCATTTAGCACTGGCCTTGTACTTGGATCCATTTTATATTTCTGCACTTGATTTTCTTTTTACCTGTTTCTAATGCTCATCTTTCCTTAGTCTATGCTTCCCTGTAAGCCACTTTATAGCCTTTTTGGTCTAAGTTGGGATAAGTGGGTGAGTGCAGAAAGGGGGAGGCGGAGAGGGGAAGAAAGAGAAGATAGAGGTTATAAAGCAGTGCCCGTCGTTTTTATTGGCTCTATCATGTAGATTAAGTGAATACTGTCGTGCCATTGTACAGAGTGGGGTCCTCAGACCAAGCAGCACCGTCATCACCTGTGAGTTTGTTGTACATGGGTCTTCACCCAACCTACTAAATCAGAATCTTTGTGGACGAGGCCCAGAAAACTGCTTTAACATACTCTCCTGATAATTTTTATGCACATTAAAGTTTGAGAAGCATGGGGAAACAAAAAGAATGTTGATTTCTAAACATAAATACTTTCCATTTGCCCCATCACACCCATTGTGTTGGCCAAGTAATGCCAGCCACTACGATAAATAATGTCAAAAATTTATTAGCTTTATACAGTAAAAAATTTATTTTTTGCTCATGTCACAGTCCAGTATGGATCATGGTGGGGGTGGAGAAAGCTGTCTTGTTAATTTGTTCAGCAAATCAGCGTCCTTTCACAGTGAGGCTTTGCCATCCTCTACACCAGTGGTTCTCAACCTTGGCTGCACATTCGAATCACCTGGGAATCTTTGTAAAATCCTGATTTCTGGGCCTCATCTTCCGGAAATTCTGTTTTTTTGTTATGGGGTGAGGCCACAACATTAGTAACAAAGAAACAAAATTTCTGGAGGATGACGCCCAGAAATCAGGATTTTAAAAAGATTCCCAGGTGATTCTAATGTGCAACCAAGATTGAGAACCACTGCTCTACAACAAGCATGTCAAACTCAAAGGCTAGCACGGACCTTTAAACAAGGTTTAAATTTATGTGGGCTGCAAAAAACAAAAGCTTCAATTTTCATAGAAACATACATTTATTTCGATAGAGATATGCTGAATACAAAGGGCTGAAATAAACAAGTAATCATTAATGAGTATTTGTTGTGGGCCGAATTCGGCCTGCGGGCCACAAGTTTGACATTCTTGCTCTACACCCTTGGACTCCTCCTCTGGATCCTCTGAATTCACAAAGCAAGGGAGTGGCAGGTCTGAAAGTAACACCTACTTTCCTTCCACAGTTCCATTGGCCAGAACCCAAAGACATGGCCCTCTTAACTAACAGGAGGCTGGGAAATAGGTGTATCTGTGGAGCTAGGGGGGAAAGGAAATGGCTTTGGTGAACCTTCTCTACTACACCCATGGACCTAAGTGAATATCAAACTCCACTTGTCATGTTTTGGTTTTGTTTCATCTTTTTAATCATGTTTTATCTTTTCTTTTTCAACTCTAGCACTATGGGACTGAGTACCACTCTCTTTGTGATGGCCCTCCTGCTCTCTGGTAAGAACCTTTGGTTTTATAAAGTCCTAGAATCCTTCCATTGTGTTAAGTCTGACTGCTGCAAGCCCAGGCCTGAGACTTGGTGGGTTTTATTCACTTTCTACCCCATGTTGCACAATACCACAGGCAAAAAAAGACTTTGGTGGAGAAGAAGGAAACATGATTGAGAACAGGTATCTCAGCTGATGGCAGGCCTGGTCTCAGATGGAGCCCTATCCCTTCTGTGCATCCTTCTTTTCCATCTCACCAAGGAGGGTAGACTCGCCTGTCCATTGGCACCCAGGAAACAAGGAGAAGTCCCTCCTCTGATATCCCTGAGGCTTAACTCTTTTGCTCCACACATACTCCTTTCTGGTCTTCTCTGTTTCATTTCTGGAAGTCCCAGGCTTTTAGGAAACAGCTCATGGGCTTCTAAAAGCCTCCTTTCATTAAGGAGCATTGCTTTCCATGTTCCATACCTTTCCTCTCTTCCTCCTCTACCTCCCCCACCAGCCCACACCCATAGATCATAGTAGCCACTGCTTACTGGGAGAATAAAAAACCCCAGCCCTGCTACTACCTACTTTAGTGACCTTCAGCTAATTGTATCAGCGGATTTACTATGACGCTAATGAAGCTGAGCTGCAGGATTCTCACTTGCAGAAGCTCTATCTAAAGCCCCTCCAAAATTCCATGAGGGGCCCTACCAGTATGGTCACATGTCATATGTTTTGGTAAAATTTTCGACAGGTATCTTGCCCACAATAAGTCAAGACCACGGCCTTTCTTTATTACAACTTTTCTCTCCATCGCATTCTCAGACAGTTGGCAGGTATTATACTGGCCATGGGCATTTTGAACTTGAATTCTGCATTTCTTTTCTTAAAGGGATCATTGCCCCCAAAAGGAATTTTAAAAGTGTCATGCTTCACAGAACTTGGATCTTCCCTGTTTGCAGCTCCTCTCTGAGTTCCAGTTTCTTCATCTGTTAATGAGTTGGTGGAGGTTCCTGCCACCCTGTGACTGGTTGCCTTTAGTTTCCACTGTCCTGCCCCTTCCAGCTGCTCATTTACCCCACCCTCAGCACAGAGAGGGAAGCCCTCTCATACACCCATCCTGGTGTGGGGCAGACAGGGAGGGGGAGCTGAGCCTGCACTTTGGCCATAGCAGCACCAGGCCGCTCCTGACTCCCCAGCCCAGCCATGAGTTCAGCTCTGCCTGTGGCAGTTCTAGATCTCCTCAGCCACACTTGGCAGACCCTCTTTGGTTGTTTTCTCCTCAGCCACACCTGTGCAGACCCTCTTTGGGTTTTGTCAACAGATGATTCAGACAGATGATTCATTTGGTTACTGACAGCAACAAGTGGGGAAATCATTCACTGAAATAGAGGACAGGGAAGTTTGAACAGAGTAGGTATGGGTATCTGAATAGCAGTATCCAGCAGGCAATTGGATATGGATGTCTGTGAAAGTTATTGGCTGGAGATGAGCATCTGTGAATTATTAGTTTATATATTTGGTAGATAAATCCATGCTTATTTGTCCTCATGAATTTTCTTTTACTAAAGGAGAAAAACTAGACAGAGTGTAGAGAGTAAGGAGATCAAGAGCAGGCACTCAAGATAATCAGTATTTAAGGGGTGATCAGAGAAAACTGATTAGATCAGTGATTGGGAAAGAATAGGGTTTCAAGGAGAGATGGCCAGCAGCGTGATGGTCAACAGAGTGGTCAAATAAAGTGAAATCTAAAAAGAGCTCTGAATTTGGCAATGGTAGGAAGTCACTGACAATCTTTGCCAGGGAAGTTTCGGCAGAGAGGTGGGGGACAGAGGTTGGGAATGAAGGCAGCAATTTCTGCTTACTCTTTCAGGGAGTTTGACTATAAGAGAAAGAGAAACTAAAAGTAGTAACAGAGGGAACCATGTGAGGAAGGGAGAGGGTGGAAAGCAGGGTGAGCAGCTCAGAGGCCAAGTTAAGTGGGATAAGATTTATAATGTCACCAGTTCAAATAATGGAATAATTTCCTTCAGGGGCGCTCAAACATTCAGTTGTAAGAACAGATATGAAGATCAAAAGTAGAGTGTGCTTAGGATGAATTCTGCACAAAAGGGCAAGTTTATTGGAATTGCTGGCAAAAGAATAATTGAGCCCTAGCTGGTTAGGCTCAGTGGATAGAGCGTTGGCCTTCAGACTGAAGTGTCCCAGGTTCAATTCTAGTCAAGGGCATGTACCTCGGTTCCAGGCTCCATCCCTGTGCGTGTGGGAGGCGATCAATTGATGTGCCTCTCTCACATAGATGTTTTTCTCTTTCTGTCTCTCCCACTCCCTTCTACTCTCTCTAAAAATCGATGGGGGAGCCCTGACCGGTTTGGCTCGGTGGATAGAGCGTCGACCTGCGGACTCAAGGGTCCCAGGTTCGATTCCAGTCAAGAGCATGTACCTCGGTTGCGGGCACATACCCAATGGGGAGTGTGCAGGAGGCAGCTGATCGATGTTTCTCTCTCATCGATGTTTCTGACTCTATCTCTCTCCCTTCCTCTCTGTAAAAAATTCAATAAAATATATATTAAAAAAATCGATGAGGGAAAATATCCTTGGGAGAGGATTAACAAAAAGAGAGAGAGAGAGAGCCCTAACCGGTTTGGCTCAGTGGATAGAGAGTAGGCCTGCAGACTGAAGGGTTCCGGGTTCGATTCTGGTCAAGGGCATGTATCTTGGTTGCGGGCACATCCCCAGTAGGGGGTGTGCAGGAGGCAGCTGATCAATATTTCTTTCTCATTGATGTTTCTAATTCTCTATGCCTCTCCCTTCCTCTCTGTAAAAAAATCAATAAAATATATTTTTAAAAAGAGAGAAAGAGCATGATTGAAAAGATATACTGTCACTCTGCTGTCCAATATGATAGCAATTAGCCACATGTGGCTATTTAAATTAGTTAGAATTAAATAAGATTAAAAATTCAGTTTTCAGTCACACTAGTGACATATCAAGTGCTCAATGGCTGAGTGTAGTGGCCAGTGACTACCATATTAGTCAGCACAGATACAGTACTTTTCCATTGTTGCAGGGCTCTTTTGGAAAGCACTGAGCTATAGGGTCTAGACTGGATGGAGTTGAGGTCTTGGTGAAGTAAAACACAGATATAGGTGAAGTAATTGAGCAAATGTTGTGGACAGAGATAGGTACATTGATGTTTAAGGTTTTTAGAACAGAGCTATTCTTGGAAATAAGGTTTAGGGTTATGTCATGGGAGAGGGGCTGCTAAAATAGTCTGTGGATGAAGATCTTCAGAGTGGAAAAGATCAAAGAACTTCTAAGCAAGTGTATTGGTGAACTCATCCTTGCTGAAGTCACTCAAATTGATAGTAATAATTGGTCGAAAAGAAAGATCTGTATCTAATGCTAAAATGCTCAGTGAACAAGGAAGTAATGATGTTGCTGTTAGTAGCTGACAGCAATGAGAGACTGGGACACCTCAAAGGGGAAGGGTGTTGCTCAAGGTCTCCATGAAGTATGCCAAAAGAAGCAGTGGCTGGGACAAATGACGTCCTTTGGGTAGGGCCAGAGTTCAATGAAAGTACAACCTTGGGGAAAACATTTGATGAAGAGACTGAAGATATAGTTTATTACAGTGGAATGAAGTTTCCAGAGGGCCTCATACAGGGTGTGGCAAAAGTAGGTTTACAGTTGTGAGTACGTGAGACAGAGTTTGTTCTTGTATTATTATTTATTAATTAGAGGCCCGGGGCATGAATTCATGCATGGGTGGGATCTGGCCAGCCCACCCCAATTGGGCTGATGGGGTGGGCCCGGCTGGGGGAAGGGGCTGCGGGTGGTTGCCTGGCGGCTCTGCCCCCTGGTCGAACTCCCAGTGGAATTTCCGGTTGAGGGGACAATTTGCATATTAGCCTTTTAATATAGGATATATTATTTTCCATACCAACAACTGTAAACCTACTTTTGCCCTACCCTGCATAACATTGAAGGAAGTTTAGTAAAAGGAGGAAAATTCATGAGTATAGATGACCCTTGACTATATAAGACATGCATTTGGGGTAGTAGCCAGGGAAGAATGAAGTCCCACATGGGGTCAGAGACCTCACAAGGTTAGAAGACTATAGTTTTTGTGTGATAGTCAAACAGTATACTGCTGAGGAAGTTCTCATGTGTCTTTTGAAACAAACTCCTTCAGCTGTTTAGGGAGGTATCTAGATGGATTCTTGAGTTCCTAGCTCCTGACATCATCATAGCAGTCAGTTATAACTAGACCTAGAACATATCTATCACCCAAGTGCTGGGGAAGGAGAGACTCTCAATGCTTTCCCACTAATGGAGTCCCAGTGAGCCCAGTAGCTATGTGGTCTAGGATTTGGGGTCATAACAGGGGAGGCCTGAAGCCACTTAGGGAAAATAGACTTTTAGCTAAATCTTTCCCATATTGTAAGGGAGGGGCTTAGCATGCGTAGCTCTACGTGATGTCATGGAAGCCAGTGGTTGGTGAGGAACTGTGGAGCAAAAATTGTGAAATACTTTCAGTTCCACCCAGAATGGGCTTCAGACTGATTTCCATTCCAGAGTAAGAAAGAGGGTTTGGATGGAAACAAATGTTCTTGTCATAATCTCCTCTGTTTCACTCAGAGACAGAGGTAGAAACCCATTATTGCAGCTTCTCAAACTGGAGATTTTTTTTCTAAGTATATTTTTATTTATATCATAGAGAGGAAGAGAAAAGGAGAGAGATAGAAACATCAATGATGAAAGAGAATCATTGGTCAGCTGCCTCCTGCACGCCCCCTACTTTGGATTGAGCTTGCAACCTCGGCATGTGCCCTGAGCAGGAATTGAACCCTAACCTCCTGGTTCATTGGTCGATGCTCAACCACTGAGCTACACTGACCAGGCTCAAACTGGAGCTTTTGTTAAAATGCCAATTATGACTCAGTAGGTCTGAGTGGGGCCAGAACATGTGCATTTCTGACGAGCCTTCCCTGATGCTGATGCCTTTAGAACACAGGCCACACTTTTGGTTGGTAGGTGAAGAGGGGCACAGTTAGACATGTGGATGAAAAAGCCCTTTTAATCTTTTGGAGAGGGGTCCTGGGTCAGAGAAGTTGGACTGATTTGTGAGTGAAGAGAGTGGTTGGGAAGGAGAAAAGGTACAGTGAGGCTCAACAGAGAAACAACCATAAATCAGAAAGACAGAAGCCTAAGGCTAAGTCATCTCCAGGCCCAGAAGACACAATTGATCCCCGAGTAATAATGTAATATTGACCACTAACTGGCAGAATTTCCAACTGTGTTTGGTTTCTCTGTTAGGTCGTTTGCCCTCATTTGGCAAGTCACTGATATAACCCAGTGATCGCTGCTAGAAGCTTTTACAGTAGGTGGCACCCTTACCTTATCATTCAGAGTTTAGCAAAGAAGGAGCAGGAGCCTCAAGGTTGCCTTGTAAGATAATTTCTCAATATAGTAAATCTTCTTTAAGGCCCCCTTTCATTATTGTTTCGGGTTCCCAGGTAGATTTTTCCACTTCCCTCCAATATGGGAATGTATTCTATATGGATACTGCATTTGTATACTTTCAGGTGGTTCACAGAGTTCTACTGAGCAGAATGTAATAGGTGGTGATTCAAATTTGTGCCAGCTCTCACTGATGCCTGGAGTCCTCTTCCCTTCAAATTTAAGACCACTACCAACCCCCTTGATTATTTGTTCTCACTGGGCTATTCTGCACACAGTCCAGTTTTGACAAGTGCATGTCATTGTTATTTGTCCTTCTACTTTCTTTTGAAAGAGAAACCCATGGATTAGATCAATTCAACTTCTCCTAGCACCCCTCAACGAACAACTTGAATGAAACTACTCTTCTCTCTCTCACCAACCCACCTCACTTTCCTCCTTAATAAAGTCCTAAACAATGGAGCTTTACTTAGAACCCGCCTGAACTTCCTCTCCAAGGTGGCAGCTAACTTCATATTAACTAAGAAACAGCATTTCCCCCCAACCCTGCACTTCACACCCACCACTAATTTCTTGGCCAAGTCTCAATTAATTCCATGACTCAGAGTAGGTCCTACAAAAACCCTATAATCAATCACATTTTTAAAAAGTTTTATTTTTTAATTACAGTTTACATTCAATATTATTTTATATTAGTTTTAGGTTAGACAATCATATACTTTACAAAGTGTCACCCTGATATTTCAAGTACTTAGCACCATACATAATTATTACAATATATAATCAATCACACAAAATCCCTTCCACAAACTCCAAATGTCTTTGGAGAGGAAAGCCTTTCTCTGAACTCTCCCAGCCTGTCCTCCAGGGGTTTCAAAAACTGCCAGAGCAATGCATCCTGGGAAGAGCAAGTTTATGGTAATTGAGGTTTCCCCAATACTCCAAAAAGCACATTCTCACCTTCCCATCTATGATTCATTTTCAGTATTTCATTCATGTGCCTTAAATGGTCTTTGACTACCACAATCCCAAACAGCCATCGATTTGCTCAGTTCTCTTTCTGATCCCTGAAAGAGCTTAGAGAGGTCACTGAGATTAGAAGCCTTGGTTGGCTATTTATGTCATTTCCAAACTATACTATATCCTTGGGAGAGATGGCCATGAAATATGCAGTCATAAGGGAAGCTCTATACGGGCTAAGGAATAAGGGGATGGGGAGGAAAAGGGAGAGGTTTTGGTGATGGTGTAGAAGTAATGGAGCCTGTAACAGCTGCAGTGAATTAGTGTTCGGGTTATAGGAAGGTAACAGATGGGCGAATGAGTTGTCCAACTGCTGGTTTTCCCTGTTTTAGGATTTAAATTCACAGACCCATAGTACTGGATAGATCCTTAGAACATTTGGTTCACTCCTTCATTAAACAGATAAAGAAACTGAGCCTCATAGCAGTTGCAGTTTACACAAGGCCACACAGATTTAGTTAGCAGTAGAGTGAGAACAAAAGTCCCATCCTCCAGATGCCAACACGTATGCAACTGTTCCAGAGTTTAACATCTAGTTCCTCGATCTCATTTCTGATAAGGTAGCATCTGGGTATTATATAAAGAAAAATGGAGTTGTTGCTCTTGTTCTTCCCTCTTGTTTCTCCTTCCCCAATAGCCATCTTTCTTTTTTTTAGGTGCTGCTTCCATGAAGAGTCAGGCATATTTCAACAAAATTGGAGACCTTCCATGTCACTTTACAAACCCTGAAAACATAAGCCTGGATGAGCTGGTAGTATTTTGGCAGAACCAGGATAAGTTGGTTCTTTATGAACTATTCAGAGGCAAAGAGAATCTTCAAAGTGTTGATGCCAACTACAAGGACCGCACAAGCTTGGACCAGGATAATTGGACCCTGCGACTCCACAATATTCAGATCAAGGACAAGAGATTGTATCAATGTTTCATCTATCATCGCAAAAACCTCCAGGGAATGAATCTCATCCACCAAAATGATATCGACCTATCAGTGCTTGGTATGTTGTCAATGGCATGTCCTGATCCCTGGCCTTCTAGATGAGATTGCAGTGATCAGGGAAACACTGGTGGGGGGCAGGGGTGACCTATAGAGAGAAGGCAGAGGACAGTCATTTCTGGGAAATCCACTTGAAGGTAATGCAGGGTTTGGGAGTAGGGAACTAGAAGTCCTTTGTACTTTGTATAGTTTGCTTCTGAAAGATCAGTAAGAATTCACTTTGGGGACAAAATAGAGCTAACTAAACAAAGGTAATGTGGCTATGTAAAAACCATGGGTAATTTTTCCATTACTAAGTTTATATATCACATAGGCCTCAAATCTCTTTTACATTTATTTTCTCCTTTGGTCCAAGATTTCTCACCCCCTGAATCTTTGCCTGGAGCTCCTAGTGAGGGTGACAACTAAGTAATTTGGGTTTTCCCTTCAACATTCCAGAGATTGTTTATGAGTTGTTTTCTGCCCAACCATGAGCTTGGTAGTCAGAAAGGAAATAACCCAATGCACAGAGTCTAAAAACTAGTAAACCAGCTCCTTTGTTCCTCCAGGCCTTGAAAAACCTGTCAATATAGATTTTAAAAAAATTATAATACAATAAAATGCATTGTTTTTAATTTTTAAAAATGTGTTATTATTGATTTCAGAGAGGAAAGAAGAGGGAGGGAGAGATAGAAACATCAATGATGCGAGAATCATTGATTGGCTGTCCCCAGTACGCGCCACACTGGGGATCGAGCCTGCAACCAGGACATGTGTCCTGACTGAAAATGGAACCATGACCTCCTGGTTCATAGGTTGATGCTCAATCACTGAGCCATGCTGGCCAGGTGTAGACACAGATTAATTTTTTATGAAACTGAAAAAGGCAGATTAACAACAATTCTGAAACAAGAATAAAGCAGAGGTAAAAATAGAATTGGAATGGGAAGTTGCTCCCTTTAAGTGTCACTCAACTAGGCTGTAGGGCTTTTTGGGACATGTAACCAAATGCTATAGCGATATTTTCAAAGTGTGGCCAGTTTCTATAGAGAAACATGATGTGGTTTAGGTGGGACACAGACAATCATTTTTTTTAAAAAAAATTTTAATGGTTTTATATTATTTTAATATGTACTAGAAAAACTAATAAAAGCCTATCTTATAAAACCTATAATTTCACAGATATTGCTAATAAGGCTACAGTAGGTAGTACCATGGCATTCCACCTTTGATAGACCACATAAAGTTACAAGTCGAATGCTTAAGTAGTGTGTTGATATAGCAGAACTTGTAGTATGGCATGCAAATCACTGAAGTTTCAGAGACAACATGCTAAAGTATACATTAGTATGTAGAACCTGAAAATGACCTCATAACTCTGGAAAGAGAGTGAGCTATTTTTCTGGCAGAAGGAATAGGTGCCAGCAATCCTCAACAGCCATAAAAATCTGAACAGTAAACAAGGCAAGAGAAGCTCCGTGTTTATTAACAGCATATATTTTTTCCTAAAAATGGCTAGGTTTGCCCTTCATCTTAAAATATATGATGAAGATACTTAGACAGTCCTTCCCAAAACCAGTATTTTGATTATCTAAATCCAAAGTCCCCACCCACTCACTTCCCACCATCCTGTGTGGATTTCTGGAAGATAGGGCCCAGAGCACACCAGCACCCAGAACTCTGTTGGTTCCTGGTGGAACTTTAGCCTCAATCCCATTCTGTTCTCATGGTCTAGTGACCTGGAATATATTCCATGGGACACTTAGGTCCTAAAGTCAGACCACTTCTCCTTCCAAAGACTTTATTCCTTAGAGAAGTAGCCTCATTATAAAGATTTTATTTTTGTTAATCCTCACCTAAGGATATTTTCCCATTGATTTTTAGAGAGCATGGAAGGGAGAGAGGGATACAAAGAGAGAGAAACATCGATGTGAGAGAGACACATCAATTGGTTGCCTCCTGCATGCACCCCAACCCGGGCTGGGGATTGAGCCTGCAACCAAGGTACATGCCCTTGACCAGAATCAAACTCAGTGGATGGGCCAACACTCTATCCACTGAGCCAAACCAGCTAGGGCTCACTATAAATTTTTGATGATTTAAATTTAGCCCTCCTATCACTCAGACAGCATCCCCTTGATTTGGGTAAACAGAAAGTAAGCATGGTCCCAAACTCCATTTTTAAAAATTAAATATGGGGCCTTTATGTGGCTCTCACCATGGTCTGAGACCCATGCTTGAGGCACTCTGGGGCTCCCAGATGTGCCCCCAGAGAGTTCCCAAAACAGGTACCTAGTCATTTGCTATTCTCTTCTAAATACTTTTAAATTTTGATTGATCTCTCTCTCTTTGTATCTTTATTCTGCTTTCAGCTAACTTCAGTCAACCTGAAATAATGCTAATTTCTAATAGAACAGAAAATTCCTACATAAATGTGACCTGCTCATCTGTACAAGGTTACCCAGAACCTGCGAAGATGTATTTTCAGCTAAAAACCATGAATTCAACATCTGAGTATGATGCTGTCATGGAAATAATTCAAGATAATATCACAGGACTGTACAATGTTTCTATCAGCTCGTCTTTACCGGTGTTTCCAGAAACAAATGTGAGCATCTTCTGTGTCCTGCAACCTGAGCCAACACAGACAGAGCTTTTCTCCCAACCTTACAGTATAGGTAAGGCTTCTCCCCAAGACTATGTCTTTTACCAGGTCTTATGCACAAACGCTATGACAGATCATCCCATGTCCCAGGAAACCTCCAACTGAGCCATTTTATATTGACAGAGGTGCTGCAGGGTCCAGGACACTATGAACCTACAGCCAACATTATGAACCTATTCTGCACTTGAGGAAGCATGTTCTTAATCCCTGAAACTAACCCAGTCTTTTGGGCTACCTTTGGATAGACAATTCTGAAGTTTAGGTCAGAAAATGCAAGATTCCTCCAAGCTAGAATTCTTCCATTCATTAAAATACACACAAACCCACACCCACACCTCTCACCCCCAAAACACACACCAGGCATACATACATATAGCACTTGTTGTGAATATAGAACCATTCTAGAAATTCTTGGTTGCAAGGATGAAAACTAAAAGGTATAAGATATGCTCTCTGTCCTCAAAGACCTTCCAATAGAATTAGAACTTCATGATGTATACACACGAAAATCTGTATTTTAAAAAGATTGGATTGGAATCTAAATTATATTCCATAGAAATAAGTTGTAAAATTAAAAACTAAAGTGACTATAATTAGTCTCATAGGCAATCAGATATAGGCAAGTTCTTGGGGGTCAGGGGAAGTCTTTTTAAAGGAGGTAGGCTCTTGTAACACAACAAAAGAAAGAATTGGTGGTGAGGTGATGACAGGTGAGGACCGCAGTGGACTAGCAATGTGGGCACAAAAGGTAATGTACATATATGTCAAGGAAAGACTCAGAAGCAGAAATTCTCGTGGCATGTTGATAGTGCAGTATGGAGACCAGTCCAGCTGGAGGAAAGCATGGAGACTAAGCAGTGTCCACTAATGGGAGCCTGCCATTTTAAAGTCATGACTTTGCCCCTGAGGGAATGCATCCATATTTGAAACCCCACTTTTGAGGAGCAGTGACTGCAAGATTCTTTCCTGGAATAGAGGCACCCTTCTCCCACACTGTCTCCCTCGCTGCTGGTTCTGATGCTGACCCCTCCCCAACCTGTCTGCCTTCTGCTTGCCTTCACCCCTTCTCCAGCTCTGCCCCCATGCTTTGTCTTTCCCTAAGTCATCCTTCCAACTCCTAGCTCCACCCTCTGGCTTTGCTGCCTTCTTTATCCTGATGTCTTCCTGTTCAAACATATCTTGGCCTATGGACATATTTTTATGTACAGCCTCTGGGGCCAGTTCCTAAAAGCCAGCTTTACCAATGGGCCAATTCTCTCTCCCGGTGTTGATTTCCTCCACTCAAGTATTTCCCCCTCTAAGAATCCAGTAAATGGTGAGGCCACCCAGCCTGTCCTGGTTGCTTCTACTGTAGCCTGATAGAGGCCTCTCCAAGCCACCCCTGAAGTTCAGCACCTTCTTGGAGCCCCTAACATCACCACACATGACATGCTCTGGGGCCCTCTGCCATGGCTCCCACAGTCAACAAATAAATAGGGCCTTGCCACCAAGATAGCCTCATCATGACTCACCTTTCTCTGCTTCTCAACTACTGCTGAAACCTTCCCGGCTACCACCATCTTCAGAAACTTTCAGCTCCAGCTGCCTCAAGAAGCTAGGGCTGGCCTCTCTGCGACCCTATTCTATGGCTTGATCAGAGATAGGTTAGACTCTGAGTCAAGGAATCTTTTGGGGTGTCAAAAGGTAGCAGTTTCCAGGTTAACAAGTATTAACCTTCCCATCCCCACTTTACTGGGAATACCAAATAGGCTGAAGTGAGATGAACTGGGACAGACTCAGAAAGTATTGAATAAGACTTGCAATAACTCCTCTTCTTAATGCCCCAGGATCAGGGCATGGGTCCACAAATTGCAGCTAAGCTAACAGGAGGTCCTGTTTTCCTGTAATTTAGGATTAACTACTGGAAGTGTTCTCATAAATGTTTATGAAATGGGCCCCTCAGTTCTCAGTTTTTCCCCCAAAGCCTCTTTTTCAACTCCCTGGAAACTTATGAGTCTCCACGCAAGGAAATAAGTCTTGGCCTCCCAGGAGCTGAATCTGACCCTGATTCCTCAGGGCATGAAAAGACAGCAAAGTTTTTCTAGTGGGTGAGACATGCTGACAGCTCTGCTTAGGGAAATCTGCTGTGACCTCAGTGTAAAAGGCAAACAAACAAAAACAAAACTGGAGGTAGAACGCCTGTGAGGAGGTCATTGTATTTGTCCAGGTGAGAGGTGTCTGAAGCCTGATCTAGAGATGATAGTGGATGGAAGAATTATTATGAAGGAAACTTCAGGACCTGGGTCTATCTACACAGAGAGCTGAGGATGCAGGAATCACACAGAAGACTGTACATTCAGAGCCTTGGCACAGGTACCTTACCCAGATTCCAAGGGCAAGGTCAGCCCTCTTCTAGATCACAGTCATTGTCATCCCAGCCTCTGGGAAGGTAAGGGAGCTCAGTCCAGGTATTTGGTCAGAGCCACTGGCTTGGTTATTAGTTAACCGCTGAAGACCCTGGACTGGGACTTTCTAACACCTCATATTGTGTATTTCTGGCTTCTCTGGCAGTAGAGCCCTGGGGAAAAGCTGGCATATAAATAAGAGAACAGTGGCCATTATAAACCTTTTATAACCAATCTTCCTGGCTAATTAAAAATTTGTGGTCATTTTTAGATGCAAAGCCACCTCAGCCACTCCTGCCTGTCCCAGACAATGTCCTCCTGACTGCTCTACCTGTACTGCTGCTCGTTGTGTGTGCGATGGTAGTGTTCTTTATAACACTCAAGAAAAGGAAGAAGAAACCTGTCCCCTCTCATGAATGTGGTGAGTCAGTGCTTGTCCTCTCTGCAGAGTGCCACTTTGCAGGGACTTTCCCATCTGCTGCCTCCTGCAGCTCCTTGGTTGAGGCCAGACGGGCAAAAAGTCAACAAGAGGTTGGAAGACAAGGTTTCCCCTCATGATCTGGAATCCCTGTAGATGAGACTCAGCAACTGATAACATTGCTCTGGATTTCTAGGAAAGGCAACATTTCTAACCTAAGACTTACAAATATAAAAGATTATTCCTTGCTTTACCTACCTCCCTTCATAAGGTTACTTTCAGAATTCAATGAAGGAAAATGGTGAAAGCACTTATAGACCTGGTGATGTTCAAGCAGGGATGTTTGGTGGGAGAAGAGGAACATTAGATAACCATCAGATTTGCCTTCTCATCTCTAAAATAGGTCTCCTGAGCAGTTAGATGAATTGTTTCTCACTAACTTTAAAAAAGAATATTAACTTTTATTGATTACCAAGCATTACATATGCATTTCTAAATATACTGGGGGGGGGGGAGATAATCACCTATAGTTCCAATAGTAAGAAAAAAATTATTATGCTGATAGCATTTAGTCTATATCGTCCAGATACTTTTTATGTATAAATCTGTTCTTTTCCATAAGTGGGATACTATTATAAGGACTATTTTGTTTTACAAGTCGGATAATCTCACGTTTTCTAACTTTTTTGTACTAAATGTACAAAAAATATTCAATGTCATTAAACATCATTCTACAGCATCACATTAAATAGCTTCAAGATATTCCATTATGTGGATATACCTTAATCTATTTAACCAACTCTATATCATTGGATACTTGGATCTTTTGCTATTGTAAATAGCACTGCATTCAGCAGCCTCCCACATACGTTGTAAAAGTGGCCTGTGTTTGTTTAGTGGGGAAAATGGTTCCTGTCTTTAGAATAATCTGTATATATGGTTTGGGCTGGTTTGGATAAAGTTGTAAAATAAGGTTGGACTTCATCTCAGTAATTGCCTCTAGTAGAAGTTTGGTTGGTGTTAATAATTCAGGTAACCTTCTTACTCACTTATGGTAAAAAGAATAATGCTTCTGGTCAGCATCTTATTTAAAACTTCATTATATTGATTTTAAGATCCATGTAGAAAATAGATGGATGATATTAGCAGTTATTTATTTCATCCCTGCTTTAAAACAGGAAATTTGGGGGTGATTATCCAATTTCAATAAATTGACACAATGCATATGGCAGAGCAATTTTCCCTAATGTAGGGAAAATTCAGTACAGAGGATCAGATGTATGGATTTACCATGCTTGTCCAGGCTTTGACTTTTCAAGGTCAGGGTTTTGAGCTTCTCTTTTTTCAATCTCATTGCCTTTAGAATTGGCTAAATGTGCAGAAGCAACCTTCAGTTAGGAAAGAAGCTGTCTTCAAAATTTGCTTTCACATTGGAATAATTAGTTTACAAATGAAACAAAGAAGAAGGGATAGAGAAAAGGAAAGTAAGAATGTTTCTTCCTCCAAGAAGCAATCAGAAAAATTCAGGAGACTAGAGAAGGGAATTAAAGAGGAGGATGTGTGTATACACATGAAAGAAATTGGAAAGAGTTTTAAGAAGCTATATTTGTGCATATAAGATGGTCAAATTGAGCTATGCTTGGTTAAAGGCAGAAGACAAGAGGGCACAGCACATATATGAACCCCCCACCCCAAGAATGTGATAAAAAGTACTGATAGGAAAACGTTGTTTGGTCAGTCACTTATGCCAGTGAATCTGATAAAAGAGAAGAGCCTTGATATCACTGGAGGACAGGAGGTGTACTGAATAACTATGACGTGTAGATATGAGATGTTTGTAAATTTGAGTTCCATAACTTCAGCAATGTCTACAGTTGCTTTGTGAATTCCTCTGGCATTAGCTATGTGATAAACAGAATAATGCCCACAGTAAGGTGTCCACCTCACATGCCCCAGAATCTATAATGTTTTCTTCTACAGCAAAGAGGACTTTCATATGTGATTAGGACACTGACCTTAAGATAATGAAATTATCCTGGATTATCCAGGTGGACCCAGTCTAATCACATGAGTCAGAGAACTTTTCCCAGTTTGGTTAGAAAGATAAGATGAAAGGAGAAGAGAACCAAAACTTAAGACAGACTCAACCCACCATTTCTGGCTTTGAAGATGGAGGAAGGGGCCATGAGCCAAGAAATGTAGGCAGCCTTTAGAAGCTGAGAATGGCCTTCACCTGAGAGCCAGCAAGGAAATGGAAATTTCAGTCCTACAACCACAAGGAACTAAATTCTGCCAATAGACAAACATGAAAGCAGTTGTGATCCCTTCAGAGAGGCACAAGTTTACTGATAATCTGTAGGAATTTCTCCAAAAATGGAGCTTCCTCCTATTCCAAAACTAATCCTCTCTTCAGAGGAGAACAATCCTTAAACTAACTTGGCATCAAAAGTCCTTTCCAGTGTTTGTTCATAATTATGTTGGGTTTTCCCCCTAAACCATACATATTTACCCTGTTTAACCTGTTAAATTTTTGAAAAGGGGAAATGGCATGGTTATTTAGCTGGTTTCCAATCTCTCTTCTCTTTTTATTTTGTATTTTTATCAAATAAGACAGATAAGGCATGAGAAAATGTCATCTTGAATTACTGTCTTTTCCCAATCAAAAGCTACCTGTCAGCTTACCCACTCAGGAAAAAGACTAAAAAAACTCCTCCTGAAATTTTGCTTCCTTGTTTGGTTTTGTGTGACTGACATCTGTATATATTAGTGCCCTAGCAACCAACAGTTTTTGTTTTTTTTTCAACTTGCCTCCTTCCACCAAACCTGAGTCTTGGCTTTTCCAGGAATGATCTCTTAAAGGGCAAGTGTTTTCTCCAAAATAAAACATTTCAACCACCATTTAAGCAGAAACCTTCACAGGGCTTAAAAATTGAAAGTTACTGATATCATCACATCTGCCCTTCAAAATGCTAAATTTATAATCAAACCTAAAAGGTTAGAAATCTATCTTTATTATCTGCTTTCACTTTAAAATATAAGTGTGTGTGTGTGTGTGTGTGTGTGTATGTGTTTAATGGTGATGATTTTTGTCATGGACATAAAAGGATAACTTAATTATTCTGGATTGGTCTACAGACATTTGAAATATTTCATTCAGCTATAAGCGCCATTATTTTCAAGAGGAACTTTGACAAATATAGAATCTAAACAGATTTATTTTGTTTGGAAACTAAGTCAAATAACACATAGCTCTGATGGTAGGGGGAGCCCTGATATCAAAACTAGAAAAAAATTACAAGAAAATAAAACTACACATATCTCTTATGAACATAAATGTCAAAATACTTAACAAAATTAACAACTAAAATCTAACAATATATTAAAAGTATGATACATCATGGTCAAATGGGGTTTATTCCAGGAACATAAGGTAGGTTTAACATACAAAAACCAAACACTAAAATTCACCATATCAACAACTGGAAAGAAAAACCATGTGATTATGTCATTGGATACAGATAAAACATCTGGCCAAATTAATATCTATTTATGATTTTTATAAGAAAAAACCCTTATAAAAGTAGGAATAAGAAGGAACTTCCTCAACCTGAAAAGGACATCTACCAAAACCCTTCAGTTAACATCATATTTAATGACAAAAGACTGATTGCTTTGCCCCTAAGATCAAGAATAAAGCAAAATGTTCACTCTCACTATTTTTGCTCAACATTGTACTGGAGGTCCTAGCCAGTGCAACAAGTCTAGAAAGAGAAACAAAGGCATACATATTTTATAAAGAAGAAGCAAAACTCTCTTTTTTTGCAGATAACATGCTCATGTTTATAGAAAAGCCTAAGGAATCCATTAAAAACTATTAGAACTAATTGAGTGTAGCAAAGTCACAGGATATTTGGTCAACACACAAAATCAATTGTATTTCTATATACTGACAACAAACAATTGGACACTGGACAAAATTTAAACACCATTTACAGTGACATCAAATAATATTAAAGGCTTGGGAATTAAATTTTAAGAACAAATTCAAGACCTGTATACTAAAAACTAAAAAATATTATAACCCACAAAAATTTAAATGACCTAAGTAAATGGAGAAATACGCCATGTTTATGGATCAAAAGACTAGATTTTAAGATACCAATTCTCCCCAAATTGATTTATGGTTTTAATGCAATACCAATCAAAATCCTTGCAGGCGGCTGTTTGGTGGAAACTCAAAACCTGCTTCTAAAAGTCATGTGGAAATGCAAAAGACCTACAATTGCCAAAAGATTTCTGAAAAATAAGGAAACAGAGGACTTATACTACCTAATTTTAAGGTTTACTATACAGTTATAGTAATCAAGGCAGCATGATACTGGTGAAAGCACAGACACATCAGTCAATGGACCAAAATGGAAAGTCCAAAAATAAATTCACATGGTCAACTTATTTGACAAATGTGTGAAAATGATTTCATGCAGAAAGGATAGTTTTTCAACAGATGGTGTTGGGCAATTAGATATCCACATGGAAAAATATGAACCTAGGCACACACAAAATTAACTTGAAGTGAACTACATATCTAAATATAAGAGCTAAAATTAAAAGACTTTTGAAAGAAAACATAGGAAAAAATCTTTGTGACCTTACCTTACCCAAATCTTAGACTCAATAAACACAAATTGATAAACTGAAATTCATCAAGATTAAAAACTTTTATCCTTTGACTTTGTTAAAAAAAATGAAAAGTCAAGCCACAGGCTGGGAGAAAATATTGCAAAAATGTATATTTGATAAAGGGCTTATATCCAGAATATATAATTATAGATTACTACTGGGTAATAAGAAAAAAATTCACTTAACAAAAGGCAGGGAGCAAAAGACTTGAACAGATACTTAACAGAAGAAGGTATATAAATGGCCAATAAACATAGTCACACAGTCACAACACCATTAATCATTAGGAATATACACATTAAAGGCATAACAAGATACCATTACACACCCACTAACATGACAAAGATTAAAAGGACTAATAAATACCAAGTTTTGAAGAGGATGTGAAACAACTGAAATCCTGATGCACTGCTATACAGCCCTGCAATTCTAGATATTTACCCATCTATATAATAAAAGCTTAAGCGACCATTACGGCAGAACGACCTGAGCGACCAGTTGCTATGATGCGCACTGACCACCAGGGGCAGATGCTCAATGCAGGAGCTGCCCCTTGGTGGTCAGTGAGCTCCCACAGGGGAAGTGGCAGCTCAGCCAGAAGCCCGGCTCATGGCTGGTGAGTTCAGTGGCGGTGGCGGGAGCCTCTCCTGCTTTCACGGCAGGGCTAAGGAGCAGTGATGCAAGCATAAGGAGCGAGGGATCCCGGATTGCGAGAGGGATGTCTTACTGCTGGCTTAGACCCGATACCCGGCAGTCAGACATCCCATGAGGGGTCCGGGACCGTGAGAGGGTGCAGGCTGGGCTGAGGGGAACACCCCCCCCCCAAGTGCAGTCAGACATCCCACAAGGGGTCTGGGACCATGAGAGGGTGCAGGCCGGGCTGAGGGGACACCCCCCCAAGTGCACAAATTTCATGTACCAGGCCTCTACTGAGAAATAAAAACCATGTCTACACAAATCTTTATAGCAGCCTATGGTACTGAAAACCTGGCATCCCAAATTAGTGAATGAATAAACTAATAGTGGTATAGTACTGGCAACATGCCACAACTCAGATGAATTTCAAAAGCATTATGTATGCTAAGTGAAAGACTCCAGGCACTAAAACACTACACGTTATCTGATCCTACTTACATGAAATTAAGTGACACTCTTGTGACATTAAACAGATCAGTGGTTACCAGGGAACAGGGTGGGAGAAAAGGGCAGCTTTGGGGGCTTATATAAATGTTCTATATCTTGGTTATGGTGGTAATTACATGACTGCATACATTTGTTAAACTCACCAAAATCTATATGAAAATTGATTGAATTTTATTGTATATTAATTATCCTATATAATAAAAGGCTAATATGCAGATCCACCGAACAATGGAAAGACTGGTCACTATGATATGCACTGACCATCAGGGGGCAGATGCTCAGTGCAGGAGCTGCTCCCTGGTGGTCAGTGCACTCCCACAGGGGGAGCGCCACTCAGCCAGAAGCCGGGCTCACAGCTGGCGAGCACAGCAGCAGTGGCAGGAGCCTCTCCCACCTCCGCTGCAGGTGGGAGGGAGGGGTAAGGAGTGAGGGGTCCCAGACTGCGAGAGCCCCAGACTGCAAGAGGGATGTCTGACTGCTGGCTTAGGCCCGATCCCCCAAGGGTTCCCAGGACTGTGAGAGGGTGCAGGCCAGGCTGAGGGACACCCCCTCCAGTGCACGTGCACCAGGCCTCTAGTATCTCAATAAAGCTGATTATTTTTCAACACACACATGTGCATTCACACACACAGAGACACACACACATACCCGCACCTGTGTGCGCATGAACTGCCAATGATAGAAAATATTCAAAACCATCAGGGGAGCTGTTGAGAGGATTCCCGTGATCCCTAAATTCCTCAGTGGACACCCAGGTTAACAACCCCTGCTGTAAGGCTCTAAGTGGGACGATAGCACTGTCACAGGAGTCAACCTAGAGGACTTTACACTACAAGTTGCATCAGTAGTAAGTCCATTCCAGTAGCAACTCAGGCTTTGGGAGATCTAGCCAGCTGGAGATTTCTCACGTGGGTCCATCCATGCGGTATTGTGAGTTGGTAGTGTCCACTGGCTAACCCACTTCAGCATTAACATCTTCAAGATTTCCTTTTCCTCCTAAGTCTTATTTTCAGAAAAGGATTGGAAATTCTTGTCTGATCACTAAATGATTGCTAAAACTAAATGTGTTCCCCCTGCCACTAGTATTTTTATTTTAGCAAAGACTAGATTTGTAAGTGAAAATCCTATTTCCAACATTAGAACTTAAGGCACAGTGAGCAAGTAAAGGCATTTACTTTTTGGATGCAAGGAGCTCCTTCTCAGTCCCCCTGAAATTGCATCAAGTAACTGTCTATTTCACATGTAAGGCTACAAGGATTTTTCTCTGAGTAGGACTTTGGAGCCTCTTCAAACTTTCCCTTTTTTAGGATGAATGGGCAATACATTTTCTGAGATTGTTTTGCTCTCTTTCAGAAGTCATCAGAGTGGAAGGGGAAGAGAGTGAACAGGCCAAGGAAAGGTGAGTCCAGACCCTATAACATTGTTGAAAGAGGTCTGATTCCCAGAGGGTCTGTAACTGAATAGACTTACATCTGAGGCCTGCTGAGACACCAACAAACATGAACTAATGGAGAGGGAAAGGAAAGCGAAACTAATAGGACCAGGAGGAAAATGTCCTAGTTGTAAATGGATGGCAGGGAGTCCAATGCACAATGCTCAGTCATGGCCAAGTAAACGATCAATACCAAAAGGGCCTGACGCGGGGAGCATGGGCTGCATCTTATTCACCACGGTAACCCCAGTACCTAGCACAGTGCCTGACTAGTGGCTTTCCTACATGTGTGGAACGAATACATGAATAAACGAGGAATGATAATATGTTCCATTTAGCTTCTGTGTCTTTGAATCTGCTGTGCCTTCTGCTTGGCATATTCTTCTGCCACTTCTTCATCTCATTCTTCAGATCTTGATTCAAGCAGCACTTTCTTAAAAACCCATCCCAAACTAGATTATGTCAGCCCATTATAGTGTCATGTGGATACCTGTCCTTTTTCTTTATAAAGAAACAATCTTTACCTATTATTAAACTCTATAAATCTAGACTATAGAGAGAGCAGGGATCATATTAGTTAAACTAATCATTGTGCTGCTAGCAACCATCACAGTGCCTGGCATATAGTAGGTGCTCAATACATATTTGTTGACAGATTGAATGAATACATGAAGGGATGCATGAAGATTCCTGGTGATCAGTCCTTTCACCACATGGTATAATTAGATTGTCATACCTCCGTCCCTCCTGAGGAACTGAGCTTGTCAAAAATATCAAGGCTCTGGCTGCATGGCTGTGGACTCAAAGCAGCCCTCAGTGAAGAGCCTGGTCACAGAGACACAGCTGGGACCCAAGGGCACCTGGGACCCAGAGTGCCCAGCACTTATATGGATATTCCAGCCACTGTGAGTCTAGGGGTCCTGGATGGTGAGTCAGGGTCCTGAGATCTTGCCTGCCCTGTCAGAGTTAGTTCAGAAATAGTCCAGAAGAGCCTACAGAGTGAAGGTGGCAGGGACTCAGCCTAGGGCAGGGACAGGCCCAGACAAAAATAAAGGGTAGCTATTGAAAACAGTGTGGGTGACACTTCACCTCTCTCTTCAATAGTTTGTTCTTCCTCATTGTTATTGCAATGTCCCCTATATTTGGCCCTGTCATTGAAATCTAGAAAAGGAAGTGGCTCCACTGTGAAATCTGACTTGATTCTTTTTTCTGTTTCTCCAGAGTAGAAAACCGTGTACCCGAAAGATCTAATGAAGCCCAGTGTATTCTCAACATTTCAAAGACAGACTCAGGTGACAAAAGTGCTACACATTTTTAATTAAAGAGTAATGTCCATTTGACTATTTTTTATACCATGTGGGTGGTTCCTCTTTCTTTTTTCCCTTTTTAAATTAAGTTTATTGGAATGACATTGATTATTAAATTATGTAGATTTCAAGTGTACAAATTCTATGATACATACGCTTTCCTTTTCAAGTTTTTGGCTGACTTTTTTTTGTCTCTCTAAACCTTCCCAGAAGGTGAGAAAATTTTACCATAAATAATAATGGAGGCTCTAGGACTCCCTCTATACAAAACAGCCTCCTTATAACGCCATCTCAGTTCCCTATGCCAGGAGCAGATTTTATCTGCTTCTTTTCAGAACACACTTGGATTGGATTGGATTGGATCCTAATGTTTAGGACTAATGCCTTCTGTGTCAGACGTGGCCTCTTTTCTTAATTTTACAAACTGTGTTTTCTGTAGAACTCCCACTACCTGGAATAGTGACTTTTATCTACTCTGAATTCTAAGGTAATGCCACAACCTATCTTGTATACCTATGACTGAACACCTACCTCTTCAGTCTGAGAGGGAGCTATATATTTTATGGCTTTATAGTGTTAATATTAACATTTGGAAATATAAAAAATGTACTCTACTAATGTAGTGATGTGCTTTGAGAAATGTCCACCCTCTGCCAAGGAGTTGTTCTTCTGTCAGGGTCAGTAAGGAAAGCAGACAAACTCAAAATTTGGGAGACTAAGAGAGACGGAGATGGCAGCACCCTGGATCCTGGAGCCATTTCTATATGGGCTGTTGCTAACACTAAGGAAGATCCATGTGACCAACACGCGATTGATAAGCCTTAGGAGAGAGCGCTGGATAAAGCAGGACAGTGCCGTGCCTCGTGAACCCTGCTTTTCTTCTTGAAAAAACTGACTGAGATCGTGGCCTGGGCAACTGTGCAAGAACCAACAGAGAGATCACAATACTCAAAAAAAGAGAGAGAGAGGGAAAAGAGAAAGATCTTGACCAACAGAGATGCACATGAATGTTCAGTCTGTCCCGTCCTTCGACAAGCCTTGGGGACAAGCCACAGATGGACAGTTTGTCCAAATGGACTTAAAACAGACAGTAGTTTCCTGGGTGGTCAGTGAGGGGTTTCGATGACACCAGGTGGTTGTGATGTTTTACCCGGCTGAAAGCAGAGCTTGGGGTAGAGAGCTATCATCTTGATCGTGGGATAAATGGAAGGAGACTTTGAACTTTTCCAACTGATGGCTGAGAGACAAAGAGCTGGAATAAAATTAGTTTGACCAGCGTGCAAATCATCCAGAAGTTGACTTAGCCCACAGATGCCCTACGAACATATTGGCCAGCCCAGAGCAGTGCTAGTGAACTTGTGTCTGAGGACTATGAGCATCATTTTCAACAATAAGAAAACTGGGTGCCAAGAGACAAATATACTAACCCAGTAGAAATAAGTTAAGAGACCCTGGCTCTAAAGCAACATCACTAAGAGATGGGGCAGCTTCGGTTTGAACCTAAAGAGGACTTTGGGGGGCTCACGCTATAGAAATAGTTCTGTAGAGCTGGCCTAGAGGGTTATAGACAGCCGTGCTAGCCATGCTTGTCCTTGTAAAATTGCCATTTGTGTGCTCTATCCTGCTCCTGCCTTCTTTAGACTCTAAGCATCTTGCTTAGAGTTTTGTACAGAGAAGTTTTCAATAAATTTTCATTAAGTTGATGTAAAAATTTATGTTTGGCTTCTATTTCCGGAGTACTACTCAGCGCTTGTAGTCTGATGTTCCTCCCTCTGTCTTCCTAATATACTTCCTCTTGACGTCTCTGTGGTAGCCCCATTCTCCAGTCACCCAAGCTAGAAGCCTCTGACTCATCCCAAACCTTCTCCTCTTCCCTTTCCCCTAACCATTGTATGAGAAAGAGGAGCTAATATAATTCTATGTTAATCTCAGTAATAACACATAAAAGATTAGTTAAGACAGGTTGTTTCTGAAGACAACTGGGAAATTTAGAGTGAAGGAAGGGATACTTGCTTTTCAGTTTATAAACTTTTATACTGTGTAATTTTAAAATAATGAGCTTGTATAGTCACTAAACAAAGGCTAATGTAAAAGTATTTCTAATAATACATTACTAAAAAATAAATTCATATAACTGTACTATATGTTTGAAAGTTTCTAAGAGAGTAGATCTCAAAAATTCTCATCAGAAGAAAAAATAATTTGTAACCATGTATGGTGATAGATGTTAATTAAACTTATTGTGGTAACCATTTCACAGTATATAAATAAATCAAGTCATTATGTTGTAACCCTAAAACTAATACATTATATGTCAATTATATCTCAATTAAAAATAAATAAATAAATGTAGGGAAATTCTGGGGGGAAACTGTCTAGGCTCTGTGAGAGCAGGGATGTGATCTAACCTCTTCACCAACGAATCCCAGGAAACTAAGACAGAACCTCAAAACTATTTGTTTAGCTATTGAATGAAACATTAATACTTATTCATTCAATATTAATATCTGGTTTTAAAAATCCCTCCTTTGTATATTAAATTATCTAGACCTCTGTGTTCCAAGTCTGGGGAAAAGAAAGCCAAGTAAGGTTAAAAGAGGTTCACCTTGTAACAGGGACTCCTCTAAACCTTTAAATGTATTATCCCACTTAATCCTCATAATGACCCTGTGATATCAGTATTGGGATATGATGCCTGTTTTGCTGATAAGGAAACTTAGGCACAGAGTAGTCAAAGCAATTTATCCTAGGTGTCCAACTTAGTAAGTGGCAGAGCTGGGGAAACTTTTTAAAAGCATTATCCCCACCCCTCATTCCTTTCTTTCCCAGCCCCATGTTTTCTGGCCATAGAAGAGACAGCAGGTGAGTGCTTACACCACATCTTTTGTTATACTAGCTCAGTCACCCAAGATAGTGCCTGCAGAGGACCCGCCACTGATTTTTCCAGAAGTCATTCATCATCTCATAAGGCATATGATGTGGCCAGTGAAAATGAGTTTTTGGTCAGGGGGGAAGTGAACTATAATTGTTGCCTCCCCCTCCACCCCTGCCACTTACTATTCTTTTGCAATTCACCCTCCTCCCTCCACCATTCTGAAGCCAGTTTCATCCACTCAGCGACTTCACGTGTTAACCCAAGCTAGAAAGCACAGTCACCTCTGACTACTGCCCTCCGACCTTTCCCTCAACACCCACTGCCACCTCCACTGTATTGCCACATTTGGTCATAACCAGGCCAGGCAAAGTCCCTCCAGCTTCAGCATCCACTCCTTTTCTCAGCCAGGCTCTTATTTCCAAGAACTGACAATCAAAACCAAAATGACCCCAGTCTACTCTCTCTCTTACCCTGCATTTTGTCCAAAACATCAAAAGACACAAGGCAGCGGGAGGGAGAAGTAAGAGGTCAACCAAAGGACTTGTGTGCATGCATATAAGCATAACCAATAGACACAGACACTAGGGGGGTGAGGGCATGTTCTGGGAGGGGGGAGTGGACGGGGAGAGGTCAATGGGGGGAAAAGGAGACATATGTAATACTATATGTAATACTTTAAACAATAATAAATAAATAAATAAATTTTTAAAAAGGGAACAAGGAGGTAAATAGAGCAAAGAAGATCTCTCTCACATTCTTTTTTTTTTCCCTAACCACACAGAGGCGAGTTTAATCTCCACTTCTTATGTATCCTTCCATAGATACACTATGTATATACATATATACATATATATAGTGTGTATGAGTCTATGTGTATATATAGTGCATATATACATATATACACACACATATATGTGTATATATTTATTTTATTTATATGTGTTCCATATGTTTTATATATATGTATTTCATTCAGGTTTGGTTTTATTCTACACCTAAGCAACATAAACATAAGGCTCTTGTTAAGATGATTACAAACATACTTCTTTATTGTATCAGTTTTCAGTCTCATCCATATACCAGCATTCTTGTGGAACTTATAATAAAAGTGAGGTTCCATTGGCTTTCATCATTGCCACCTGTGTACTCCAGGAGGAAAAATACAAACATATACAAAGTCTTGCACTGTCCTTAGACACAAATTTTTTAACGTGCTCCAATCATAACAAGTTATACCCTAGGTCTAGTGAATAAGTCATTCTGAACTGGATCTCCTATTACCTGCATCTCATATATTTGTCTTTCTTGACTTACTTCCTCACTTCAGTTGTACATATCCACCAGTAGCTTTTTGAGAAAGGATATGTGAGAAGTAAATTTAATGAGATTTTTGTGTATCTGAAAATATCTTTAGCCTACCCTCCTACTTAATTGATCATTTGTCTTGATATAGAATTTGGAGTTAGAAATTCTTTTCATTGTTTCCAGCTTCCAGTCTTGCTCTATAAATATCTATAGATATTCTGGCTCCTTATCTTTTTATATGGAAGCTTTTAGGATCTTCTGTCTATCTCATTGTTCTTCAATTTTGTAATGAAATGCCTATATGACCACTGTGGTTAGCACTGAGGTGGTACTTTCTATCTGAAAACATACATCCTTTACTCTAGGGAAATTTCTTGAATTGTTTCATTGATTTTTTCCCCTCTCTATTTCTCTAATCTGCATTCTAGGATATTGAATTTCAGTGTTGGATCTCCTAGGCCCGTGGTTGGCAAACTGTGGCTCGTGAGCCACATGCAGCTCTTTGGCCCCTTGAGTGTGGCTCTTCCTAAGCCTTAGGAGTACCCTAATTAGGTTAATAACAATGTACCTACCTATATAGTTTAAGTTTAAAAAATTTGGCTCTCAAAAGAAATTTCAATCGTTGTACTGTTGATATTTGGCTCTGTTGACTAATGAGTTTGCCGACCACTGTCCTAGGCTGATCTTTCTATTTTCTTATCTTTCTGTCCCCTTCCATCTTTTTGTCTTTTGCTCTGTTTCTTAAAGATTTCCATAACTTTATCTTCCAAACTTTCTGTTGTATTTTTAAATTTCTGCTATCAAA